CGTCCAGTATGGTTAATTTTTAATAAAACTCACATTTGTCAACCTTTTTTCCCATCAGTGGAGCCAGGTGTAGTCTTAGCGGAACGACCGTTGATATCAGAGACTGAAGCTTTCAGTCTGATTAGTGTTAATTGTTATATTCTTACAACATGTAGCTGTAGTAATTAGTAGTGAAACGCATGCAGCCGACACACAACATAGCTAGCAGACTCGGTAGACACATACAAGATTAGAAGTACTACTACTTGTATTGCCCGTATATCAAACGCAGCAAATCACATGATAACAATTTTACTTTCGCTGCTTCAAGTGGACGTGCGGCTTCCCAGGGTCTCGTGCATGTACAAATATTGAAATTAAACACGCAGTCATCGAAACGAGTCGCAGCTGGTCAAGGGGAATCCCCTTGCCCGAGCTCTCCGTGCCACGCCCCTTTATTGAAGTTTGTTAAACATAATTATAGAGGGGTAGCTAAATGATTTGAAAATGTATTTAATTATTGATTCGTTACTAACTCCCTCGACCCCACTGCAATGACTATTTGTGTCTTCTGACTTGTTTCAGCAATGAACGAGGAATCAAAAATCTATGGGAAGCAGTTGCGTAATGAGCCAAAAACATTTAAAGGGGGCTGGGACAAGAAGAATTGAAGTATTTCGTATGCGCCAGGATGGCAAGCGATTAGGGTAGTAATCTGTTGAATCGGAGGAGGGGGAGGGGGGGGGGGGGGGGCTTTACAATTTACTGTATGAAATTATATTTCTTATTTTATGTAGGTCGCGTTTTGCGAGGTGCCGGTAGGGGTAATAGAGGTAATAGAGGGGCAATATTTAATCATACCGTGTAATTTAGGCTTGTACCATGGGCCATGCTTCTACCAACCTCAATTACTTAACTATTATAAACTACTTATAAGTTATATCATTACTACTACTATTACTACTACTACTACTACTACTGATGCTGCTGCTGCTGCTAGCTACTACTACTACTACTACTTATATTACTCCTACCACCACTACTACCTCGCCCCCATCATACTCCTCTTTTCTCCGTGAACCACCAACTTTTCTCTCTCTTTCTCTCTCTTTCTCTCTCTCTCTCTCTCTCTCTCTTTCTCTTTCTCTCTTTTTCTTTCTCTCTCTCTCTCACTCTCTCTCTCTCTCCTCTCTCTCTCTCTCTCTCTCTCTCTCTCTCTCTCTCTCTCTCTTTCTATCTCTTTCTCAACCTCTTTTCTACCCTCCTTATCTCTTGTTTATGTAACTCTCCCTTCCCTTCGTTTCCGGACACGTTCCTCTCGCAGTGATCGCATTGGGCAGTTTCTCTATCTTCCTGACAAGCGGAAGGGTATGTCAGGCAACTACAATTATTCGTAGCATGGACAAGATCGGGAAGTTCCAGGCTACCGAAGAAAGCATGAATTTGCAATCAGACTAAGATTACAGTTAGTGTAGAGCCCAGTAAATGGTAATACGTAGCATTTATCAATTGCATACATGCAGGAATCGATTAAAGAGTGCATGGGGAGGAGGAGTAGGAGTAGGATTTATTTTCTTTCTTTTTTATTGTATGGTATTGTTTTGTTTTTCTCTGGGCCTACATAAATTACGAGAGCTTAACTATTTAACTATTGTCAGGAATCCATATTACCTCGAAACTCACTGCGAAATAATTTCTGAACCACATTCGTTTTGAAGACAAGTACCAAACATGAATATATAGTAGAATGTAACCGTTTAATAAATCACACGTCAATCACAGAATAAAAGCCATTTTAAAATCCGTTTGCTATACAAAAGATAAAATCTCTGAATAATAGTGCGATATAAGAATTTTAGATAAAAACTAGTTAATATTCGTTATGTTCGATAAACGAAATAGTTTTAAATGACTACTAATGATCCACCTCTAACAATAAAATCTGGAATGCCTTGTTCACAGTTTGACATGGATACTATTGCACTTGTAGAATTAATGGTACCCTCAAAAGTTCAAATGAAATGCAAGAGGTTTATTTGACATAATATTTATAAATAATCACGCCGAGTTCCATGTTATTATTTGAAGTCCCCTTGGTAATAGTGGGTAAACGAATATTTGAGTAGGAACGCTCAAACAAGCGTTTTGCTATGCTACGCTTCGTTATAGCTACACCACGATTATCCTATAGCTAAATGGCGAATTATGGTAGCCTGGATGGAGGGAGAGTCTAACCATCACTTTATTGAATATATTTTGTTCATTGCGGCATTGTATGCAGAAACGGAATAGAAGGGTTTTATGCCTCATGAATAAAACTTCAATTTGTGTTTGTTTGTTTGTTTGTTATTGTACATATCAACAAAACATGGCGAAATTAATTCATCGTAGCGTGATTATTTATACATGTATCATAGTGGCAAGTAAAGATACCAATTATTGCATTCGAACCTGAGAATAAAAATTTCCCAACATAGTGGACAGAGCAACAAACTTCTCTCAATAAATTTCAAAATATGTTATGCCCAACGTCCTCTTCAAAATTCAATTGTTGTATTATAGAATGAACATTGACATGTTCGAAAATATACGACAATATTTATTCAACCAATAATCTATAAAATGTTCATAAACATAACATGACCATTGCATGATAAGCCATGTTTCTTGTATCTATTTCTTTCAATAAGCATAAACATTCTAAAATATATATCACTTCTGGATATACTCGTATGCTTACATAAAGAAGAGGGTGAAGAGAGGAGCATTCAAAAATCTTTTCTTAGTATCACACTGTGCAGATAATATCCATAAAATCTTTAATCTACGAAACTATGCACACAAATCTATTGCCATTTCCAACTTGAATATTAACGTTAAGACAGTAAAAAGTTTTTTTTTGTTATGTACATATTTCTTGTTCAGTTGCCTTGCATTGTGACGTACGTCAAGTCATTGCTTTATAAGCAATGACCTTCGCGGGTCATGACATTGATCATATACGTCATTACCCGCTAAGGCACCCGGATGCTTATCATAATAAATGTCAACGTTCTGGCTTTAGACATAGCCAAGGTATTTGCCAGCCTAAAATATTTGTTCATGACAAAAAAATAATAAGTGAGACTGAGCGTAAATCTACATACATACATAAGGTGCTGTGTCGCGAATTCAGGATTATGTTAAAGATGGGGCGGAAAAATATGGGTGCATAATTATATGATACACCCCTCCCCCTCAAAACAAAAATTAATTTCACGCCTCTCAAGCACAACTTTATCCGCCATTGTGTTGTTAGATCAATAATCAAATAATCAACATAAACCAAGACATTTCAGTGTTATCGTACTCGAATCTTGCCTATTAAAGGGATCCGGTTACTTTGTCTTAGATCCTTTAGAAATAATCCTTGATTTAGCTCATGCTGCAATGATAATTATAAACCTTTAGGTAAGTCAGGAACCCCATGAATTTTACAAGCCAATCGCCAGTCTGATTATCAAGATATTAATGATTTCATAACACTACAGTCTATTGGGAAAACGGGTATGGTAAAACCGGTCACTCAAAGATTTTTACTTTTTTTGAGTCACTTCTTGATCATTTTGAAGCTCGATTTTGTTAGGGCTTCAATATTACACCATATCACAGGCACTGGTAACATGTATTAGGACCGTGTATCTCAGACATTGTTAAACGATCCCTTTAAAGAAACTATGTCACTTTTGCAGCCAATATCAAATTCTGTAGAACTTTGCAGGAATTATGAATATGTCATGTATGTCCTATCTGTGAAATTGAAACGTTAGCAGTGTCCTTATATTCAAAGTATGCAAGGAAACCCGTTTACTTGCTAGACTTCACTGTCAGTACTGACTGGCTTTTCTTCTTCTTTAGTAATATAATACATAAAATGAGCTGTAAAGGGTACAAGAGCATTTTTGTCTACATCAATAACTCACTTCTTGTAATGGCCAAAATTAAACTGATTGAATCTTTGCACAGCATCAAACGTACGACCATTCAGTACAATGGTCTGAAAATCAGACTATTACTTACTGGCTATATAGCTCTCAACTCGATTCGACAACTAATAGTCGTTATTTTCCCTCTTAAAGACATTTTCAAGCCCCCTTTTTTAGGGAAGTTCGAAATCAGTATTATCTTTCAAATACCGTTGGAATTTAATCTTTTCATTTTAGCCTGCAAATGGGACATAGTAATTTTAACACACATGTTCTACTTCTTCGTATTATTATTATAATTATTAAGTATTTAGCATGAACTAAATAAATGTTGCCCTCGGGTCTCTCCTCACAGTATGTTCAGGTGGACCACTACACCGGGGTCTCGGAATCCATGCGTTTTAAGAAATTACATGTCCAACGTTGCCTTTGCAGAAACTTTCTATGATCGATGTAATAAACGTCTATTGCTATGGATTCTTTGTTTGTTTGCGGTCATCACACATATGCAAGTGCTTAAATAGACATTATTTACAGATACATGTAAGGTTAAATAAATCATAAAGCAATTAAATTCGGGAAATCGATGTATTTAAAGTGTCCAACGAATTGGTCGCACCAAAGAGAAAATAGCACGAAGTTTTTGTTTTTTGTTTTCTTCAAAAAAGCTCTCAGAAAAAACAGAATAAGAACAAAATATCAGCAGTCTAAAGTGCCCCGAATAGATAACCAATTTTCTAATAAATCCATGGCCTTCAGCAACACTGGGAATCATCTTTGAAGTCTGTTATGCTAATTAATTCAAAAGTCCTTTTGAAGTCAAACATTTTCGGGACATGGGTTTTGGCACACAGGCTCATTATTCTTACAATTAAGTTAATTGATAATAATGAGTAAAGTGAACCAAGTTTAAATTGGTTTCTTGTTTTATAGTGTAGCTTACAGCATTTCTGAACAATTCTGATTAATAAAATAAATATCCATATTATTCAGTATAATTATACATGTACATTATGTATGTGATGTTTGAAAAAGAATATCTTAATTTGTAACTTCTTCAATATCTTGACGATGATGAACGTTTTTAACCATGTTTAACTGAGAAATCCGATTAAATTTCGAATGTAAGTGGGTCTTGTATGGCCTCCGTTATGAATGTGTTTATCTATGTCTCCGTGTCCTTTCCTTCGGTCCCCTTCACACACATCCGATGAAAGTCTTCAAAAAGCAGGTCATCATCAGCGTAATTTGGGGCAGCTCCTCTGTAAAGAGATAAATTCAATATGATAAAGTTAATGTTCTACCAACGCTCTCACCCCCTTCTGTGATCGAAATACAAAGGCCCGGTGTGTAATGGCCTCTGTGGACTCAGCACTGCCAAGGCCTGTCATTCCGATGACCCCCCCCCCCCCTCCCCTTCGCGACTGTTGAAGGAGTTCGCTTATGAACTTTCTGAACCTTTGACCACTCTCTTTAATCTTTGCCTTGGTCAAGGTTGCTTCCCTGACATGTGGAAACATGCATCTATTCCCAAAACTAATCCTGTACCAACTTTGATCAGCTCTGGCCAATCGCCTTAACGTCCACGTTAGCGCGTATCTTTGAAGGTTTCCTCGCGGACTGGATCATGAGCAGCATCCGCCCGTTCGTTGACCACCGCCAGTTTGGTAATCTTCGTGGATCGTCGGTTACGCACTACTTGGTCAGCCTGCTTGACATCCACAGAGGGCTTGACAAGGGTGGCACTCTCGCTAACGTTTGCGTTTTGGATTTTTCTAAGGCTTTTGATCATGTCAACCACACCATCGTTATGAACCAGTTGATTGACCTAGGTGTTAACCACTCTACCATCCCTACCATCTGCAGCATCCGTTCATAACAGAAAACAGACTGTACGCTACTATGGGAATTCCTCACACTAACCAGCCATTTCCTGTGGGGTACCCCAAGGTACTCGCCTCGGACCGGTCCTGTTTCTGTTCTTATCAATGGTGCAGCAGTTGACAGTGTTAACAGATGGAAATATGTGGACGACTTGACAATCGTGGAGGGTTTGAAGAAAACGCATCCATCTGAGTTGCAGTCGCATCTAGACTCCTTGGTCCAATGGTGCAAAGACAACGACGTTGTTCCGAGTTCTTCTAAGTGCAAAGCTATGCAGATTTAATTTTTTCGCCAACCTTCGCCACTCGTCGTTCTTGACATCAACTCTACCACGCTGGAAGCTGTCTCATTCCTTAAGCTCCTAGGTGTCTTTCCTCAGGATGATCTCAAATGGGATGGGCAGGTCAGCCGTTTGATCTCTAAGGCTTCCAGAAGACTTTATCTCCTGACTAAGCTTCGGAGGAATGGTGTATACCACCAGGATCTTGCTACTATCTACATGCTGTACACCAGGCCAGTGCTAGAATTTGCAGCACCTGTTTGGACATCAGGGATTAAAAACACCCACTCTGACGGCATTGAGCGAGTTCAGAGGAGAGCTCTTAGGATTATTACCTACCCTGACACTAGAACGTATGATGAACTGCAATCCCACCTTGGTGTCTCCTCTCTTAAAAGGAGACGTGCATCCGCTTCTCTCAGATTCGGACATCTCCTGTCTAAGCCTGAGAGCATGCAGGGTCAGTGACTGTACAAAATGCACTTGATTTGTCCTTGCCTATTATGAGGTACTCTTTCATTCGATCCTTGAATAATAATAGAGGCTTTTGTAATTATCAGTATGTTATATATTATGTACATTTATTTCAGCAAAATAATTATGTGCAATATTTGCCGTCATGATGATTAACATCGCAGGCTCTTCCATTAATTCTTCCACCTCTTTCTGTTCTGGAGATGTTTTACCGTACAACTTCCTTTAATTTTCTGCTATTCTTATTGTGACCAACAATACCTAAATACTTCCAATTTCTTCTTGTGCAATGCGTTTATACATAACCTGTATTCATGTCACATTTGTGATTAACACTACCAAGACTCCAATTTCAATATCTTTTAATACTTTTTAGCACTTTTTATGTCACCTGAATGGAATTTGTATTGCTTTTTATTGCAGTTTTTCCTATGTTACAGTTAATTGAGTTCACGTATCTGTATACATTTCATTTGCCTAGGACATTTATTCTTTCAGTAACAAAACAGGAGGCAATGCCTGACATGCTAGCAATATACTGTTTTTGTATTTTGTTTGTTAATGCTTTTGATGTTTTGATATATTTTCACCATTTTCTATTTTTTTTCTTTATATGAATGCTTTTAAAAAAAAATATAATTGTATGTATGATGTAAACTCGCATTTTTAGTCTTTGGACTTTTTAACGGGATTAATTGAAACCTAATTTAAATCTTGAATCTTAAAAAAGTTCTAAATGTTAAAAAAAAAATGTTAACAAGTTATATGTGTTATTAATATTTGTATGGTTAATACTCCATGTCCAATTTACGTTTTAAATTTACCGCCAAATGCTTCGAAATGTGAGTAATTTGTTGTTAGATTGCCGTTAGATATATGCTTCAGTATAGTATAGTATAGAGCACTGATCATGAAAGGAAATAATTAAATATTTCTTTGTTAATATCATAATGCGATTGTGTTGATATGTGCATGAGCCACAAACACGAGAATAGATGGTCAATGAATTTGAAAATAATTAAGCAATTTATCTATCATGTATATTGTGTGGTGAGTTCTTGAAACCGGAATTTATGGACCAATTATAACAATTATAGCTATCTAACATTGATATTCTGATGTGAATATAGACGGTTTCTGTAGATTGAAGAAAGTACTTACGATGTATCAAACTTGATAAGGTTGGGATCAAGGACTTCTCCTTGTTCATTGTCTAAAGAAAATGGAAAAAGAAGCATGGGTAAAATAGAGATAAATAAAAGAAGAACTAGAAAAACAAATGACCTTTGTCATTGTATAGGAGTAGAAGCTATTACATAGACATTGAGCTATACTTGTCATATATAATGCATCGACATAGGCCGGTCGAGGGGAGGGGGTCAGCTCTTCACTTGAGCCTGCCAACATACATTACCCCCCCCCCCCCCCCTCTTCCCCTTCCTGTTCTTGGAATTAGTCCGACGCCTATTTATTATTTCGCTACTCGACGCATTATGTTTTAGGCTAATGATAATATGTATACTTTAAAATCAAATATAAGATTGTGGCATCAAATAACATGCCAGCTAGTTTTGACCGGGGGCATTACTATATTGATTATTTTCTATTATGTATTTGAAACAACGATGTTCGCCAGAAACGTCTAGTTTTATTCCTGTTTGTCTTTTTTCTCTTTAATATCTATTGTATATTTCTTTTATTTATTTCACGATATACACTTGATTCTACCTGATTTGATAATATCACATGTTATGAGAAAAGCTGGAATATAAACTTAGATGAATTTGCATTCTTTAATTAAACATTGTGGCTTGTCCTACCTAACAACACGGAACGTATGCAATTTCACATTCTGACTACTGAAATACATTTTTTAAACAGGTGAATGAAATCATTTCTAACAAGGCACTTAACACAGATTTGTGCATTAAATTTGATCACAATCATTACGAAAATGGGCAATTTACGCATGTACTAGAATAACTAGATGATGAACCATTGCTATAGTTGCTTCCAGACAATTTCTTTCGCAATGTAATCGCCTGCCCAGGGCCCCGACTTAAAAAGAGTTGCGATGGAGCCGAATAAATCGAGAGTCCTCTGATCAATCGCAAGTTTGTAATCCCCTATGTCTTATGTACATAGTTGCGATTGATACCAAACGCAAATAAGTTGCGATTAATTTCAACTCTTTATAAGACAATCTCCTGTACTCATATTAATATGTAACATGTATGGGGTTTGTTTTTCATCCAAAAGGAATGAAGGAAAACAACCTACTTGATTCTGATGTCATGGCTGGTTCTGGTGCCGGCGGTGGAGGATGAGATAGAATGAACGGCATCTCAACGGTTAGGTCCCTGGAAGGAAAGACAATAGGGGTGCCATATATACAACTGCAAGATTCAGTGACATTTACATTGCTCCTGTTAATTCGTGCGATGATGTAAAATGACAACAAATTATGTTTTTTCATATAAAGTACACCAGGGGAGTGTTTCATAAAGACTAAGATAGACTTTTATTTGGACTTAACAATGACAGGCCGTTCATGCCACTGTTTTCTCTCACCATTTACTGACATTGGTCTGTCAATGGACATACAATCATGGTCACATATCTACAGAATTTACATTTTTTGATAATTTATTATTGACGGAAAAAATATTATCTAAAGATCATAAAGTTGAGAGCAAATAGCGGCATGAACGGCCTGCCATAGTTAAGTCCAACTTAAAGTCGATCTTAGTCTTTGTGAAACACCCCCTGATCCAGTTTCGCCGCTAAATATTTTCTCACGAATTGGTCCCCCTCCCCTGCCGCAGGCTGGATCCGCCCCTGCCCTGATCACATCATATTCAGACGGTGATAGATATAAAAATAAGGAATACTAAATTGTTGTGTTCAATTTCAAGGCTTTTTAATACAGGTACCGACCGAGGCGCGGAGTCTTTGAGTAGACTTGCATGTTTCCCGATCGATAAAACCTCTTAGATTATATCAGCACCTTGAAAGTTGAATGCTGAATTACTCCAAACAGTCACGTTTAACAACTTTATATGCGTGCTGACTATGTGCGGGTAGTATGGATTTCTAGAATTAATTTTGTATAGAACCGTTGGTTATCAGTGTAAAGCAACGAACACTACTTTCTTTATTTTCTACAAAAATATAATGTGTAGAATACTCACGACGCAAAGATATCTCCTACAAGCCTGACCTCAACCTTGTATTTGACTGTGATGCCAAGATCCTCCTTCTTCATCACGTCATTTCGGAAACTACAAGAAATAAGATATACAACTTAGATTGTATTCTGCATCTTACATGAAAATCCCTTAAACCTATACTTATTATATGAATAAAAGAATAAACATAGATGCATTTCAAAATTATCAAAATTTATAAACCATGTAGTTACATATTCTCAGATGAAATTGACTCAGAATTCTCAGATCAAAAAAGAACATTTAGTACAACCACATTTATGTTCAAATCAGTGATTGCATTTTACCTGCACGTCGTAAGAGAGCAGTGATTGAAATGCCATTAACATTATTTGGGAAAGTATTACAATTCTTTCTGACTCTACTGGTCTCTTACCTATTCGCTTTCTCTACCCATCTTTCTGCCCTTCTCTCTCTCTCTCTCTCTCTCTCTCTCCCCCTCTATCCCTCTCTCTCTCCCCTCTCTCCCCCTCTCCCTCTCCCCTCTCTCTTTCTCTCTCTCTCTCCCTTTCTCTCTCCCCTCTCTTTCTTTCTCTCTCTCTCTCTCTCTCTATCTCTATCTCTCTCTGTAAAATTGTATTCTTCTCTACACCCACTTTTTGTGAACCAACTTACAATGTAGATGAGGCGAGGTTTGTGTCCTCATGTTTCAGTTTCCCATCCAAGGCCAGACCTCGCTTGTCTCGATTGTTTTCTAGCAGCGGTGTGACCTTGAACACTTTGGTTAGAACCTGACTTGGTTTGATTGGCATTCCCTCAAGTTCCGTTCTGTTAATCAAAACAAATCAAAATATAATGAGTAATATGAACTAAGTTTTTTTGGTCTAGTGAATACCTCGCCGGAATGTGAATCACATGGTTCGCGATTCGAGTCCAACCATGACACTGGCAAGACAATAATCTACATTTGCCACTCTTCATCCAGGTGTAGTAAATGAGTTGGTAGGCAGAAAAAGAAATCCTTAAATACTTGAACGCCTCTGCTGGGTTCCTCGGCTACTACAATTTCAGGGCCCTCAGGGATAACGGTATTAATACTGATGAGACTATTTTTGGTAAATAAGTCATATATTATCATACATTATTAACTATTCCAAGCATTAAGTATTTGCTTTCTTACATATACAGACTCGGTAACCTTATTCAGAAGAAAATGCATTTATCAATATTGATATATTAATACCCATAGGAAAGAAATGAGCCTGCCGCATACTCCTGCGGCAGACTTGCCGCAGATCTGCAGCAGACCTGCAGCAGACCTGCCGCAGACAGTCATCTTTTTCACATGTAAATTAGTTTTGCCGCAGACTTGCCGCAGACTTGCCGCATACTCTTTCAGTATGATGAAGATTCTGCGGCAGGTCTGCCGCAGACTTGCTGCAGACTTGCCGCATACTCTTTCAGTATGATGAAGAGTCTGCGGCAGGTCTGCCGCAGACTTGCTGCAGACCTGCCGCATACTCTTTCAGTATGATGAAGAGTCTGCGGCAGGTCTGCCGCAGACTTGCTGCAGACCTGCCGCATACTCTTTCAGTATGATGAAGAGTCTGCGGCAGGTCTGCCGCAGACTTGCCGCATACTCTTTCAGTATGATGAAGAGTCTGCGGCAAGTCTGCGGCAGACCTGCCGCAGACTTGCTGCAGACCTGCCGCAGACTCTTCGTCATGAATATTCATATCTCATATAGACCTGCTGCAGACCTGCCGCATACTCTTTCATATCCAGTACGTGGCAATAAAGTATGCATGTAGAAGAACCAGTAATAAACTGATTGATACTTCATAATCAATATTGGCAATATCGATATTACCAATTAGGTAATACCAATATATATCGATATTACCAATTAGGTATATTCTATTCTCAATTGTATTAACTTCATCACATTGATCATTTGAAGTGTATTCAAGAGTAACATTTAAATTTTTAAAGTGATACAGGCTCATACACATATATATATACTAAATATGTATATTGTTTCTTGGTTAGTAATCATAGTTTCTTGGTTAGTAATCAATATATCTATTGCTTAAACGTGAATGTAATTGTAACATGATCAGACAAAATAATCTATTGGTTAATAATGGCAAAAGGAAAATAGAAATCACAAAAATGATGTGCATTGTCTTAATTTGCTTAACAAAGCATGATAAATGTATTTTTCTGTCACACGTGTAAAGTAATAATGAATATGCATGAGATGATTGGTTTCAATTGGCCCTATTAGACTTTAATGGGATTTCCTGTGGCAGACCTGCCGCAGACTGTTCCTGTGGCGTACTGGTATGCGGCAAGTCTGGAGCAAAGTTTCGCCCTGCCGCAGACTGTTCCTGTGGCATACTAGTATGCGGCAAGTCTGGAGCAAAGTTTCATCCTGCCGCAGATCTGCCGCAGACTGTTCCTGTGGCATACTAGTATGCGGCAAGTCTGGAGCAAAGTTTCATCCTGCCGCAGATCTGCCGCAGACTGTTCCTGTGGCATACTAGTATGCGGCAAGTCTGCTGCAAAATTTCATCCTGCCGCAGATCTGCCGCAGACTGTTCCTGTGGCATACTGGTATGCGGCAAGTCTGCAGCAAAATTTCTTTCTGCCGCATACTTCGGCATACTTCGGCATACTCTTTGGCAGATCTGCGGCAGGTCTGCGGCAGGTCTGCGGCAGGTCTGCGGCATACTTTTCACTTTCCTATGGGTAGACAGTCTAATCATCGAGAAAACTAGAGACCATCAAACTATGTTATAGATACAACAATAAGAATAATTGATGAGATGGTAGCCCATGATTATGTACATGTCGATGTGTCATACCTAGCAGCACATGGGAAAAACATAAAGAGAGAGAGAGAGAGAGAGAGAGAGAAATGAGAGAACGAGGTAGGGGATAAAGTGAGGAAGAAAATAACTTTGAAAGATATTTTCCTCTTGCAGGAGTTGGGGAAACCCCTCCCTTGCAGACCACCCCGTCATTATCAACGCTCCCTCATATCTAGTCAACCTCTCAAATCAACTCCCATCTCTACTAAACCGAGTCTACGCTACAACGCGTTTGTAAAATTATAAGACCAACTTACGAGGCTTCGTATTTATCCACCTCACATTTGAAAGATCCGGTCTCAAAGAGCTGAATGTCTGCGAGTTGGAAGGCGGTGACGATCACCTTCTTGACGCTCTTTGATGACTGATTCGAGACATGGACATTGACGGATATGGTTTCACCATGGTGGTATACCTATCATGAGAAGAAAAAAAAGAGACGAATCCAAGATAAATACTAACTGTGTCCATACTAAAAAAAAATGTAAGCATTACTTGATTTGTTAATCAAAAGGGGTTATTTTGGTTGTAAATATCCCTTATGTTAAGATGGTGTCTCGAATATAAAGTGTATATTTGTTTTATACCCCCCGTCTTTGGAAAATTAGGTTGGCTGCGCTTTGTGTAGCAAGAGATGCGTTTTCAAAGAAGAATAATTACGTAATCAAGTTACGTCACGAAATGGTGACGTTTTCAGCCAGCAGATGTGTAAAACACAACTGATCGCCCAAAATAAGACAAACCGATAAAAATAGAAATAAAAGAACTTCAAGAAGAGATGCTCCGAAAATAAGAAGGTGATAATATTGTTTTCTCCCTATTCTGACGTCAAAGATATACAAACAGTAAAGTAAAGGAGTTGATGAATGCATGGTCATGAGGCTGTTGACTATCCATCCTTTTCAATAAGGGATATATATATATATATATATATATATATATATATATATATATATATATATGTATGAATATTTTATATTTATATAATCGCCATATCAATGAAATATCATTGTTTCATGTAACCAAAAAGAAACTCGAGTTCAAAAGTTTAGTACGATCCCCTACCGTCAAGATACTGTTCTTACATCACCTACCTCTTTATCTAAGGTTGCCTCCAGACGTAGCGGTGCCTTACTGAAGAGGAATTCTTTGGAGTCTTCTCCGCTTGGTTGTATCCCCTGTCGTCTAGGCGCGTAGGCCACCTTGCGGATAGCTAGCTCCACTGATCGCCTCTTACTCGGGACCTCGTTAATATCATCTAGATTCATATTTAACAAAAGAATCATTTAAAAGAATTCTGCTGGATCAACCTCCCCCAAAAATAAGAGTCACAGTTTAAAATGAGTCCCTCTATAAATATTCTAGCGGAGTATCTTTATGAAGCTTTGTTACTATCAGTCAGTAACATCTGAATTATCACCATCATCATCATCATCATCACCATCATCATCATCATCACAATCATCATCATCATCATCATCATCACCATCACCATCACCATCATCATCATCATCATCACCATCATCATCACCATCATCATCATCATCATCATCATCATCTCCATCATCATCATCATCATCATCACCATCATCATCATCATCATCATCACCATCACCATCATCATCATCATCATCATGACCATCACCATCACCATCATCATCATCATCACCATCATCATCATCATCACCATCACCATCATCATCATCATCATCAACATCACCGTCATCATCATCATCATCATCATCACCATCATCATCATCACCATCATCATCATCATCATCACCATCATCACCATCATCACCATCATCATCACCATCATCATCATCATCATCACCATCACCATCACCATCATCATCATCATCATCACCATCATCATCACCATCATCATCATCATCATCATTATTATCTCCATCATCATCATCATCATCATCACCATCATCATCATCATCTCCATCATCATCATCATCATCATCACCATCATCATCATCATCATCACCATCACCATCATCATCATCATCATCATGATGACCATCACCATCACCATCATCATCATCATCATCATCACCATCATCATCATCATCATCACCATCATCATCATCATCATCATCTCCATCACCATCATCATCATCAACATCACCGTCATCATCATCATCATCATCACCATCATCATCATCACCATCATCATCATCATCATCACCATCATCACCATCATCACCATCATCATCACCATCATCATCATCATCATCATCATCATCATTTTCAAGTGTCAGGTCTGTTACAGACATCGGCGGGCATGACCCTCCATTTCTGTTTATTATCTGCTATGCTTAAAAAAGCTGGTATTGCTAATTGTATTCTTGGTTCCCAATTTGTTCACATTAAAAAATATATCTGACAAGCAACAACAAAAGTCATTAAATTTCTAAAGTTCCTGTTACTCAACAAAACGAAAAATGAAATTTGTATTGCACCGCCCTTCCCCTCCCCGTTTTATATATAAGATATGAGGGCTCCACAGTTGGGTGCTTTGAGGCACACTCGCAGGGACATTTACCAGCTCCTTTCCCGACAGCTAACTCAATCACCCCCATCGACATAACTCATAGTACGCCATCTACGACAAGCTAACTATACAATCCTGCAACTATCATAAGATATGAGGGCTCCACAGTTGGGTGCTTTGAGGCACACTCGCAGGGACATTTACCAGCTCCTTTCCCGACAGCTAACTCAATCACCCCCATCGACATAACTCATAGTACGCCATCTACGACAAGCTAACTATACAATCCTGCAACTATCATAAGATATGAGGGCTCCACAGTTGGGTGCTTTGAGGCACACTCGCAGGGACATTTACCAGCTCCTTTCCCGACAGCTAACTCAATCACCCCCATCGACATAACTCATAGTACGCCATCTACGACAAACTAACTATACAATCCTGCAACTAAATGATTATGACGGTCTAGTTTTACACCCGTTATATTGTAGAGTATTATAGCATGGACCTATGGCATTCATTATCTTTTGAAAAGAGTCCTGTTGAAAGAGCCTAGAAGATGGCGAAAAAATAATGTCATATGGATGTAGACAAGGAGATAGATGGGGACTGAAACTTGGTTAGGCATTTCTATGCGACCGGCCCGCTCAATCTCTAAGATTTACTTGTATGTCTATAATTATATACCGGCCCTTGGAGGACCACACATTCTGAGCTGCCCATAGGAGAAATCCCCCCCCCCCCAAATGACAATGGAATGATATTTCTTGGCAATTATATCTGTATAGTTTGAGGTTAGGCCTGTTTTTAACCTGTGAATTTCATTAATGTTGAGAACGAGAATCCATTTTCTATTTATATATACAGTCAGTTTTCATGAAAGGTATGCTTTTTTTTAAACGATATAAAGAATTAATTTTATGAAATATTTCAACTACTCGTGGCTTTACACCTCTGTCGAAAGTGTTGAATATTAACTTTAATAAGCCAGAACGCCGGTATATTTTCAATCAAAATATGAAAGTGGAGTCGAGAGTAGGTAAAGTGATCTATAAATATTGACATCCAGGCCAGTTTTTATTGACAGCAATAAAATCCCGCGCTAAGAGGAAGTAGGCGAAAGTTTACAGCCCACGCTCATTTCTATGCAGCCATACAGGTCTTATATTGTGAAAGTAGACATATAACGCTACAGCGAGTGCATTTATTTTTGCTTCTTTTGTTTGATCTTAATGGAAGTGTAAGATGAGGTGTCGTGTTTGAATTGATAAGTCACCAGACTATACAGTTTATGACACACAGGGTCTGGTGTTCCTATGGCAATGCCTGCTACGGCACTAATGTCCCTTTGCAAGACATTTATCTATATAATATAGGGGCTTCCGGTTAGAAGAAATTCTCTGAATGCTTAAGGACCGTATTGTGGTAGCCAGGCTAAAGCCCTGGTAATAACATAAATACGGAGCCCTCAGGGAGAACATAATTAATACTGATGAGGTTATACTGGGTAATTGAGACTATATTATCATCAATATCATGAACTCAAATCGATTTTGCTTGTCACACTTACCGCCAATGTAAGTATGAAGTGCATATTCTACTCCGCACGGCTTTTTCTCGTCGTTTTGAGCTGGTTGAAGGCAAACTGAGAAAGGCGAATTCTTGGTGAGCTAGAAAAGTAAAAAAGACAATAATTGCAAGATAATGATATCTTAGTATTATAACAATTTATTTATTTTATTCATTCATAGCAACCAAGGGTTGGATTGATAATAATACATACATTTTCAACATAATTATGAACATTATTAAATTCAGTACAATGAAATTGATAAATTATGAATAGAAATACATGTAGATCATTAATACAAAAAACATTACAAATCATTCAGGTAAATTATTCGCTCTCACGCTACTTCAAGTGTCCTTGACAGTCCTCATTGATATCGGGTTGTTCTCCTTCACAAGTCATGCACAGTACATTCACAGAAAATGTAAAAATACGATTAAAACAACAAAATTCTGTGAGCTAAAAATAAGAGCTGGCTGCCTGTAAGGCGCTAACACATTCTCGATATTTCATTTCACTATCTTGATATTTCATTTCACATTTTATAATCAGGTTCAACTAATTTGATATGCACGATCTACTTTGCCATAAAGAAAGAAGAAAAAAGCAAATAAACAAATAGGCATCATGATTTGTCGCAACTTTTCAATACTGAATAATGCCAATCGGAGCCTGCCTGCATGCAAGCACGCAACACCAATGTATTGTAAAATTGTCGTTTTTATGTAGGTTACTTTTGTACGATTTTATTTTGTTGTCTTAACAGAATACCGTAAAGTGTACTGTGCGAAGCAATTAACCTTAGGGAAACCATAGTAAACAATTAAGCTTTGTACCAACTCCTCTGCATGATCATCATACATCAAGTTGTTTCTTGACTCAACTGAAATGATTTACTTGAGTTTGGCATAACGTCAATTATGCGATGTCGAATGTTTTTGTGACTGTGATAATAATGATAATACTAATAATAATAATAATAATAATAATAATAATAATAATAATAATCATAATAATAATAATAATAATAATAATAATAATAATAATAATAATAATAATAATAATAATAATAATAATAATAATAATAATAATAATAATAATAATAATAATAATAATAATAATAATAATAATAATAATAATAATAATAATAATAATAATATAATAATAATAATAATAATAATAATAATAATAATAATAATAATAATAATAATAATAATAATAATAATAATAATCAGCTTTTATATAGCGGTTAATACATCTTGGACGTCTCTAAGCGCTTTACAGATATACTACAGATATAGAAACTCATAACAACTAGAAACAAACAAAGGAAAGACTTCGACCCCTATACTCCGGCCGACCCTCTCAGATTAATTATCCTCCGCTCCGAGACAAAACATGACAATGAGTTATGTTGCAAAGCGATGGATAATATGATGGCCTCTTCTATCATATATACTTCTCATATAAATAGTATTTCATGTCTACTTCTGATATAAAGAATATTTCATGTCTACTTCTGATAATTATAAAGAGTATTTCAATATCTACTTATGATATAAATAGTATCTCATGTCTACTTATGATATAAATATAATTTCTATACCTTCTTCTGATATAAGTAGTATTGCAATATCTACTTCTGATATAAATAGTATTTCATGTCTACTTCTGATATAAAGAGTATTTCAATATCTACTTATGATATAAATATAATTTCTATGCCTTCTTCTCATATATATATAGTATTTCAATATCTACTTCTGATATAACAATTATTGTTTCAATATCTCCTTTTGTCTAACCATGATATATCTGGCATTTCAGTATTTGTTTCAATCTTATTTTATTGCTTCATATTTCACATGTTTGCATTTTAAAATGTTTACACAAAATAAATGGTATTAAACAAACAAAAGAAGAATTCTATGTCAAATCTAAGCAGAGAAAATATGTAACTCATATCTTCCTGTTACATGGAGTGTTAACTGAAAGAATTGTACTTCACGAGTTAAAACAAAATAGGGAGGGCCAATAGTGAAAGCAGCGTCCTCAAAGAACGTAATGTCTACTGCTACTGCTACCACTTTTCCTCCTCCTCCTCCTCCTCCTCCTCCTCCTCCTCCTCCTCCTCCTTCTCCTCCTCCTCTCCCTCCTCCTCCTCCCTCCCCCTTCTACTCCTTCCCCCTCCTCCTCCATGTCCTCCTACTGCTACTAATGCCTCAGCTGTTGCTACAACTTAAATTTCCATTCATTACATAAATTGTACTTCTGCTTTTAAATACGCTATGATAGTTTACCTCGAAGGAGAATGGGTACGCCTTGTTGCCCAGTTTCTTGCTTAGACTGGTCTGAAGACGGGTCAAAGGTCGCTCGTTTTCTGGTAGAGGTGGATAGACCTGTCTCTGGGCTAGGAACAGTTCTTTGCGGAATGAGAGACCTAGAACATCAAGCTCCTCTCGACCATAGCGAAAGATGGCGACTAGTCGTGCGAACACCTTGCGATCCTTGAGGTAGTCTGGATCCAGTAAGACCACTCCATCTAGGGGCAAACAGAACGTACAGTTTAAAGGCATCATTTAACAATGTTAAATCTGAGATTCATAGCCCTACGTGTTATCAATGTCTGTGATATGGTGTAATATCGATGCCCCCCCAAAAAAAATCGCGCTTCAAAATGATCATGAAGTTCCTAAAAAAAAGTAAAAATCTTTGAGTGACCGGTTTTACGTTCTCATTTTTCCCAATAGACTATAGTGTTATGAAAACTCGTTAGGAAAATTTTATTTCGTTTTCCTATCATAAATAGCTTGATAATCAGACAGGCGATCGGCTTGTAAAAGTCATGGGGTTCCTGACAGACCTACAGGTTTATAATTATCATTGCAGCATGAGCTAAATCCAGGATTTTGTTCAATAACATGAGACAAAGTTACCCAATCCCTTTAGTAGCACAGATATTCATCCATATTAAAGCGACAAACTATGTTGATTCTCTATGAAGTATACCGTTCAACACCTTAAATACCAGGCCACAGTGGTAACATATACGACCATCTCAGCTATGAGAACAGTACAACGTATAACTGGCAGTATTCTACATAAAATACCCAGTCTGTATGAGAAAAAGTTTAACGAATCATATACGAGTAATAAATTTAAATTAGGATATCAATGCGTAATAAAACGAGTTAAAAATTTCAAAGAAACGTAAATTATAGAAATATCTTTCTTTAACCTTCCTGTATGATATTTCATTTTTTTCGCGTTTAAAATATCCCAATGTATATTTTCAATGTCTTTTTCCTGAAAGTTATACCATAGCTGGTGTGTATTTACCGATCGGGTCAATATGTGTTGAATGATCCACATAATCACGCTTTCCTAGATACGTTGTGATCTGCGAAAAGAAACAAAAGGAAAGCAATGAATAAAAAGACAATGCTAAATAAAACTGAGTATTCAACAAATGCAAATAACTGATATCAGACAGAAGAAATTAAGAGAAACTATACAACTCTTTAACAAAAAGGAAGGAATAATTATGAAATTGTATAGCAAACAAAATTATGAAACATAATAAAGCAGATGTTTTCTTTCTCGGTATCTTTAAGCGTTAATTATACCCGCTGTTGATGTGCTTTATAAACACGCTAATTTATTGATTCGTTAACAATAACACACGGACACGGAATGCCGTCACAGCTATACTTCTAATTAACCGCTATTACGTAATATGTTTTCCTAAAGGTGACTCGTTCAACATCTAGTCTTTTTCTTATGAGATGTATTCTTCATTGTCCCATAATCATTTGAATAGAGTCCAAGTGCTATGTTGCTATTACCAATCTATGGGAAATCTCTGAAGCATGATTATCTGACTAACTTTTTAATAAATCTGCTCAACATTTGAAACAAGTAGAATAGCTCGCTAAATATTAAAAAAAAATTGTTTCGAACGTGTCAGCGTTTTTTTTTGAGTTTTTGCATTCTATGTTGCTGTATTTTGCTTTGTTGTTCTTATTTTTTTTAATATTATTGTTTTGTTTTGGTTTTGTTGTTGCTTTTTATAAATTATGTTGTGTTTGTTTGTTTGATTTGGGTATTTTCGAATAATTGTATTTCAATAGTCAGAATGCGGATTGCATACATTACGTGTTGTTATGTATGACAATCCGTATGTGCTTCCTGCATTAAATTTGATTTCATTACGAAAATGGTTAATTAAGGAGGCACGAGTTCCGGAACTACTTTCTTGGGTATGAACGTTTGTGTAAATTATTAGCGAGTGACTGACTATTTTATTAGAATAAAGTGCAAACATTGATGTACTGTACAGGGTGTATGTACTATGTATTTATGAATACTCGAAAACATTAATGAGCTAAGTCAGTAATATTGTCACTAAATTATTGCACCCATCAAATAATGAACGGAGTACATTGGCGTATTCATATACTCTTTAAAGGGAGATTCCTCCTCAATGTGGCGGCCATGCAGGGCGTAATTCATTTGTGCATGGTGAAACCATATAGTTATTGTGCTTGTCTTGAATGTTCAAGATTACAAATAAATGTCATTTGCCGAACAGTTTTGGTTGAAAATGTGAATTGGCTGAGTAATGAGCATAGAAATATAAGAAAATCAAGGTAAGTAGGCCCGACACCATTTGTGTAGTCCCATAAACATATTTCTGTGAACAGTGCTTGTTACTTTACCAAGACCAATTCATTATGATTTTGATGACTCCAGAACCTTGCAGTACACACCAATACTTAGATGCTTAGATGCTACATGATCAAGTTTTTCTGATCCATTCCACAAGTTTTTTTTCACAATGCAATCGCATGACCAGAAATCAACTTTTATCTTTATAATCTATTGCATCGTAAAGAGTACCGCTCGGTGATACTCTATTCACAAATTTTCTGATACGGATGACTGAGCATCAGGGTTTTTTAAAAATTTTGTCGAAATCTCCATGTAAATAACGTTTGGGCTGATGCACCGAGTGTGGGTTAGGCCATATTCATGTGTTAAATTCTGTTTCATGCTTCAGTGCTTCATTGTGCTTCTTTGTTTAAAGTGATCCAATGTATCTCATCTGTCACATGATCTTGTTTGAATCCACAGGATGACCTGCTATATCTTCTTGTATCGTGATATCTATGACATTGCTTCTCAATTGCTCATTGAACCATTTCACATGACTCAGGTTCATTAGGTGCATTAGACATTTTGTCTCAAACAGCACATGCAAACTCGGAAGCTCAATTAACTCCAAAGATTCAGTACATGCGAGAAAGAAGTTCATGGGGATAGCTACCAAAGATAGACTATCTGGAAAAATGACGGCATCCCAAGTAAACGATGTCCACTTGGATGACTCAATGACAATGTTTATGCCTAAAAACAAGGGGTGCAAAAGAAACTTTTTTGGATCCCCGAATCTTCAGCCCAAGAAAGGGACATAAAGCCTTATATGTATTTTTTAAATTCTATTTATTTGTATTTATTTCTAATCTGTTGACAGGGTAGCCCATTCACCAATAAGTATTGGTCTCCCATGGAACCCTGAATAAACATGAACATATTTACATCAAAGATGTTGCGCGCCTCTCCCATCCCTTCGGTTTCGCAAATAGGCTATTTTTGTAATGTAATCAATAATGCAAAAATCTTTTTTAAATGCCTCTGTACAAATTATTTCATTCAACTTTTACGAATAATTTTTATTTCATTTATTTTTATTTTTATTTTATTTTAATAGGCAGAATGAGAATTCTATACACAACGTGTCGTTAGGTAATTTGTGTAACTTGGTAATTTGGTAACGATTAATGTATGCAATTCGTATTCTGATTATCGAGGTACGATCATTTGTAACAGGTGATTGAAATAATATGTATTGTATTGTATTTTTTGTATTGTATTTATTAAAATTCATATATTCTGTTTATGAACATATAAATCAATTTACAATGCAAGGTAACACGGCACTTATCGAAGATTTCAGCAGTTAATTTAATAATGGCAATACGAAAATGGTATATAGACGCGCATGAGAGTAAATGACTGGAAGAAGAGTTGAATTGAAGTACAGAAAGAAGAATGGAATGACATCAAAATGATAATAAAATGAAGAAGAATTAAATCTAGGGATACATTGGTATTACGTACTTTGATGCTCACCAAAGCACGCTCAATGTCGACTTTTATTCGTCAATTATTATCAAATCATAAACAGTCATTGGAATTTTATTTTTTATTGCGACACTCCCACTCTCCCTCTCCATCTATATATTGACGTGAAATGAACCACGAATGTGACGACTGTGTATCGGATTCTTGCCAATTGATTAGTAATTTATAAATTTGTCAAATTTGACCGTAGAACAACTCCAGATTGTCGTAACCATGGTGACCGCCTCGCTAGGAGACTCCTGGGGCTGACATCTTGTTTATTTACTCCCTTCCCGTGTCACACAGCTAATGGACGTTGTCATATTGCTCTTTTTGCGAAAAGGGGAGAGTTGTGGCACACGTTCAAATAGCTTCACATCAATAATTGTGCCTGTCTAATCATTACCATAGCTACTCGACATATATGGATTAGTAAACCTGACATCGTCGTGTACTTTAGTGGTTTCCATCGCAGTGCGTTGCCATGACAATATAACAAGATGGGAACAAAAGAGAACATGCTCTAACAGCATGTTTCATTGAGTTGAAGAGACAGTCTGAAGAAATGCAAAATCTATTATTAACCAAGTATTCCATATTGCTGTAAAGCTAAGGCATGTGATAAGTTGTTTCATCATATTCATTTCGTCCGGGCATTGGTGGATTTTTGTCAATTACTATTATTTCTGTCAAGTATGTTTATTTCCAACAAAACAACCACATTACATATTTTCCCTCTTCATGCATCTTAACCGGTCATCAATTTGAATATTTAACTTATTTTGCCAGTTCTCCAGTTTAGATTAATTCAATTAGGATATCACTTTCTCGTATTGGACAATTCTCAAATGCATTTAGTGAAATATATGCATTTAGATACATGCTTCATCTATGTGAGTTCAATGATAATTTTCATATTTGTATTATTGTACATTTTCTCAATCCACCCACTGTATGCGATGACAACCAAATTAAACCTTCAAGTCAATTCAATTCAATTCAGTCTGCATGTCACCATCGAGAAGCAAACAAATTAATTGGTTATGGAGGGTAGAATAGAAACCATTCATGCAGGGAAGGCCGTAGTGCTACAGCAGACGTTTTCATACATTGTATAGAATCTGTCAATCCTCGACAAAAAAGTACAATTCGAAATTCTTATAATTATGTTTACCGTGTATAAAAACGTATGCTTTTTTTGTAATAATGAAATGAAGCTCTTCGTGAGTAATCAAGTCAATGAATTCCGAACTATTCGTAAGAAAAAGCACGTGTAAGACGTTCTAATAGAGAGGGTGTGTGACCCTCCCCCCCCCCCCTGCCTCCCGGATACGCCACTTATCAAAACGCCCCCTTTTGATGCAAGCGTGATGTAATGCACGTTTCCACACCACAAGTCATGATGCATATCTCTATAGATCAGCATCGCAATGCCGCAAGCTACATGTCACTGTATATCTGATTATGCAATCAGTGAGTCTTATCTTGACCATCTATCTAGAAAACGAATCGTGTTGATCTGAATTGTAATACAAAATTATTCAAAATAACATACACAATATACAAATAACCATATCGGTACATTGAGGTCAAGCAAATAACTTGAATTTAAATGATGCTAATTTCATAACTCGGTTGTTATTGTATTATACAAATAACTAAAAATGAATGGAATATATATTAGATGTTAGAATAACAAAATATGAGTTGTATGCAGCCCTGTATATCAACAGGAATCAACTTATATTTGGATGTCACCCGACTTTTAATATATAAAGTGACTCGGTAACATCGTTGAAGGTTGCTGATAAAATTGCTTATTTTTTGTCTAAAATGTTACTTATATAATTCCATCTACTGTACTAACTCTCTGACATTCAAAAAATCCTGAAAAAAAATCTCAAACCACGAAGATATCTATGGTTTTCTTTGAAGGCGTCACTGTGCAACATGGTGATTAATAGTAAACTCTCCTAACCATTTTTGAATTTTCCCAACCTTTTTTCCATGAAAAAAGACATAAAACAGGCTATTAAAAATCTGTCAACACTTAAATGTCTGGAGTGGTATGAAGAGCCAATTTATTGCTTTGTGACGATTTACGTGTACCTAAAATGTAATTAAATTATAATAATATAGTTGGGAGAATTAAGGAATCGATCAGATCAGTTTTTCCCAGTGTGTATCATTACTAATGGTCCGTTTTCACTAAAATTTTCAGGTTATCTTTAATTGTACATCTAGCATTGAAGTCACTACCTTAGCACCACTATCTCTCATCTAAACAATGTTACCAAGTCCCTTTAAGAAAGTAAATATACAAATGGACAAACAAACAACCGAGTAGACTGACAAACACGAAGCAACCTCCAGAATTGAACAATAACACGTTTACATGGTTGGTTCATACTTACTTTTCCATTGGAGCTGGATTTCTTGAATACTCTGTTGAAAACAAGAAGTAAGATGGAAAAAATGATTATTTTTCTCCTCCCCATTTTATTTTTTTTTTGGTATTTTTATCATCAAATGCAGTGAAGTACATTCCTCACAGAATATGGCAAATTAACAACTTAGTAAGAGGACGTTTAATAAGAAACATCATGTTTTCGTTCACCTTGCAATACCAATAATTATATAATCATTTTGTTTAACCCAATACGATCGTCGCAACCTATTTAATATTGCTTTTCATCATCATTTGGACTAATTTTGTTCAACCTGTCAACACGGAAGTTGAAAATGAATAGAACCTTTGATGTGACAAATGATTGTAATATGCCAACTCGCAGACCAAATTTAACTTATGCAAAATAGTGATCAAACTCTATTATAAACCGATATCAATCACAGGAATTCCCATAATATACGAGGACATTTATATGCTTACATCATTCTATATAAGTCCCAAAGTTTGGAACAAAAAACAATACATGAACAAAATAAATGTATTAATAAACTATTTTGTTGTGTCCATATCTGACAAATTTTCTAATAATACACTGAGATGATAGATAATGCAATCTAAATTAAGCTACCAAATTTAGCGATGACGTCATAAGATAGAGCGACAGATTTACAGATGATTAACCATGACGTTCAACTGCGACTTAAAAAAGACTTGTATTTATATTACCCAACGGATATTCAGCAAATTTGCAATATAAGATGAATACAGTGAGAGAAAAAAAACTTGTCTATTAAAAGTGCCATGATTCTGATACAGGCAACCGATGTGTCTTTATGAAAATATAGGAGTTGTAGGTATCAAAATATGTTTATCAAATGTAGAGAGTTGTAGGAGCATGCGATTTTTTTTCTCTTTCATTTCCTTCCAATCCTCCAGTAAAAATACGCATTATTAGCAAACTACAGAGACTTGTAAAATAACACATGTTCAATAATGACCATGAGATTTCGCTGCAAGGGATGCAGACTCGAAAACATTTCTTGGCAAAGCATTTTAGAAAAAAAACGATGACATTATTTAGATAAATAAAGTGGATTTTGGTTTTATAAATATTATATATACCGACATTTATATATCTGAGCCTTTTATGAATACTGGTTTAATTGCCACCACCAACAACGATCACCGAACATATGAGGATTATTGAATAAACGTATCAGAAATGATTATTGATTATAATAATAATAATAAAGACATTTATAACGCGCAACATATCCACCCAGAGGGTGCTCAAGGCGCTTACGATGAGCTACATAATATACTTAGATACAATTATGCTTACATTATATTATACATGGTAAAAAAGATGATATTATTTAAAGTTGGCCATTAGATAAGTTTTCAGACAGGCCTTGAAATGATCTACTGATTTACAGTCCTTAAGTATATGGATGAACAATTTGGGGTTGATGAAACTGCTCTATTGCATACTTCATTTTTGGACCCAAGTACCACTGGTTTTGCACCCTGATTGTGGCTATACCGAAGGGGAATGCTTGATGCGGGTATAGTAGACGAGACATGGGAAGATTACAATGTCTCCAGAATAAGTGTGCTCGGCTAATTTGTCAAGAACCGAAATGGTCCCATGCTACCCCCTTAGTAAATAAACTACACTGGCTGCCAGTTACTGAGGTAATATAATACAATACTGGATACTCGTTCAGACTTTCAGATCTTTGTCAACCGAATTTCTTTCCCAAATCCCGAAAACAGGCTGGCTTCACATCCGTTAATCCATTGCTCTACGCCTATGGAACAAACTCCTTGCATTTCTGAGAAATAGTACTTCCCCCTGATATTACTTTTTGTTTTGTTTTACACGTCTGCAAACATACCTCTACAATTCTTAATGCGTCCTTACACTGAGGGAACAGCGTCTTGTATGTACTGGAAAAGGCGCTATAATAATCCTATCGTTATTTTTAATACTATTATGATTATGATTATTAATATTATCACCATCATCATCAAATTCATTACTATATAATTTGTTTGATGAGTCAGCGATGTCTCGAAGCGCATCGAGAAAAAAAATACCTAGGTGATCGGATTCAGGCTTTGCCGCAAACGATGTATGCACATTCTCCATTCCCTGGGGAGCATTCTAGGCAGGCGCCATTTTACAGACGCTCACAATGCCGAGCAATCTACAATGATATTTGCATTCTACCGCGCATCCATTTAACACGTAGGTAGAGGGTGGATAAAGTGGAATAATATTTTGCCAAAGAAAAATAGTGACGGGCAGCGATTCGACCCCTCAACCCTTAGATTAAGAGTTTAGTGAATGGACCACTACACCACGACATCTTTATTTTCTTTCACTACCAGAACTGAACATAACTTTATACGAGGGGCGTTGTTTATGAGTAACAACATATTGGAGAGAGAGCGAGAGAGTGTGAGAAAGAGAGAGAGAGAGAGAGAGAGAGGACCAGCGATCCGACAATGAGTTTCATGCATTTCGCTTTACACCGTAATTGAAAACACAAAAAGCGCAAGTTAAGCATGATATTCCATTTGCCATGGATGAATATTGTGCAGCCTATCAGAATAGAGATCTGAATAAAAAATTCATCACGCCAAAAGCTAGCTACATTTAATTGTACCCAAAAATGCAAGAAGATGTTATTGAGATATTGCGCTGAATTGTTCACGTCACGCGGCGGCACGCATGATATATTTATACCTGAAGGTTAAAACACGGAGAGAAAAAAAAGAGCGCAATAAAATTATAACCATGTAGGGAATACATAGTTGCATAGTTTCGAAACCTCTAGAAGAGCAAATGAAAACTGACAATAGTTGTGAGATGGGCCTACAGGTATCTCTCTTTCCTGCACAATTTGAGTTAATTGAGTTAATCCATGTTACTTCATTCAGATCTACGTCCAGTTTTATCAAGGAGTTCCTTAGTATTTATTACTCTTCACCCAACTATTCTGCTTAAACGACGAAGATTTCTACAATCGAGATTAATAATCTCACTCTTTCATAATTCATTTCTGCATCTACTACTACTTTTATGCTACTACTACTTCTACTAATTCTAAGACAGAAATAACCGTCTGGTATGGTGAATCCCTAAATAAGGAATGACAACAAGAATAATACGCCTACAGTAGGACTACACACAAATTCTGAAAATGATATATGCAGACTGAATGTTGAAGAGTTGTTGCCGTTGTGGCTTTGTTGCATTATTGAAAAGGGCCACGTATCAAAGTCACATCGTGCGAAAGACATACTCCACACCAAGCTTTCAAAGTCCTCTCTTCCTTTTTAAAGCTTTTAATGTATTATTATTATCATTGTCTTTAATTTTTTTTTTCTTTCTGCTTTCACCTTTTCAGTCTTGATGAAATGCGTATCATTATATCAATACATCAGTCATGGAAGAGGGGCAAACTTAGGGTCCATGAAACGTCGGAGGGGGTCTGGACTCTAGAGGGGTGATGTTATCCTTTTGTCAGTCTTATTATACCCCTCTACCTTCACTTATATTGTCTCTATCCCTTTATCTCTTATATTTCAATATTTGGCATTTGAATAGGGAAGGAAACACTTGGCATGGCACCATTGAGAGTTGTTTGGCTCCCCGGAGTGATTTCACTCGAGCCTAATATCTATACTCTTTTGCTGGGATTTTAGCGATATTTCTCTGATTTTTGTTAGATTCTCCGGAAATCAGCTTAATGAACAAGTAAATTGTCTATATTTCTCCAATCATATCAGATTTCTTTTAGCTGAATTTTCTGCACAGAGGTGTGTTTGAAAAAAGATACCTCGGTGCGAAATACCCAAGGCTGCAATCGCAGTAATAAAAGTAAAATATCACAATTTTCGCATCAAACATGTTACAGTAAATACTGAATTTTCTTAGTAACTCCCCTCCAAATTTGTATAGTCTGGAAACAAGACATAATTTTTAAATATTTGTGTCCATCGAATGCAAAGGGAAATCTTCTCCTAACCTAAACAGCTGCCTATGCCTTTACCCTACATGCTATAAGCTTAAATAATATCATAACATTACGTTCAAAACTAAGGGAAGATATATACCACTGCAGACAGAAGAGCGCAATCGGGGCACTTCGGGATACTTCCCATGGAAGAGATTCAAGAGGGTCGCCCCCTCCCCATCCGAAAATTATAGGAAAAAAAATCGAAGAAAACATTTTGTTTATGGTCAATATTGAGTTAACGTTATAAGAGACACTATTTAGATTCTGAAGTGGTCTAAATTGTATAATATTTTGATATTACAAAATGTAAAGTCTTCTTACTTGCAGCCTTTTCACACACAGCTAAAATTCTATAAACATGATTAGTATAAACGTGTTTGAAACGTGTTTAAACTAATCACGAGCCTTTCACACACAGAAATTTCGTTGCGATCGTTAATCGTTTCGTGATTAACTACTGCTCGTAAAATGCGCAGTAGTGCCATTGCGCATTGAAGGTCAGGTCATATCAAACAGAGCGGTCGCTCCATCCAGTTTAAACACGTTTAAACACGAAAAACCTTTCACACACAAAATGTCAAGCTCTTTAGGTACGAACTTCGTATCGGCAGCCTGCTTTTAGGGGCGTATGCATCGCGACTTCGTATCTATCCCAACATCGTATAAACGATGTTCACACTGGGAAAATATTTCTATAAACATGTTTAAAACTGTTGAGTGATTCTAATCATCTCTGGAAACGATGATTTTTAGCTGTGTGTGAAAAGGCTGTATACGTTCTGCAGGTCCTAAACCATTATTATAATATGATCAATGAGAGGACGTTCCCTTGAGGGTCGAAAGTCGCTCCCAAACTGGTGACGTAATGCTACCACATAAACAAATAAAGGTGCCTGGACTTTGGTGTGCGTATCAAAAGTGCTATTGTATGAAAAGTACTGAAAAGTATAAACCTTATAATTTTCTGGCTCGCTCGCTATGCCATGTTAGAAATAATATATATACTT